TAGCAAGCTTGTATGTATATATTTATTACCATTAGTGTCGAGTTAGAAGCGATGACAAGTTTGTTACTTGAAAAATATGCAATTCAAGTTTAGACTGATACAGAGCAATATACAACTCCCGCCAACGACACATACAACACGACCTGCGTAGATGAAGGAGGGTTACCGCAACACCAATCATGTATATATAATTAAGTGGCGCAAATTAAGGCCAATAATAATAATAATATTATAAACTTTATTCTATGGTAGCATCCTGAAAAAGGACGACTTAGTGTTAAGTGTCTACGCTAAGTGAGTCCTAGCTATATTGACCATTTAGCGTTAGGAACTGGGAAAGATGTGCTAGAAACGACAATAGCCTATAATTTGAAGCCAATTATAATAACATTTAATTACACAAGTAATTTTCTTCTACTCTACCATGAGGAGAATATACATTGAATTAACTTGAATATTTAAATAATTCTTTACATTACATTACTCTAAGTATTTTAAGTTACGTATAATCATTTACTGAGGACACCCGATATGTAGCAATTCAACAGAGCAGTGAGGCTGTGCCGCGCGATCATATTTTACATTAGATGATAAGATTATCTTGAATTCTCAATTTCATTTCTAGTTTTTAGATTAATAGATTTAATTTGAGCAGTATTTTCGTCGTCCCGCGATTCCGAGCTCTGCTCGTTATGACACCTCCACGAATACTACTAACAAAAAAAAAAAAAAAAAAAAAACTAGATCCTTCTGGTCAGAAAATTTAAAGGTTTGCTTGCTGATTCTAAACAAATATATATATATAAGTCGAACTCGTTTTTGTAGACAGTCGTAGTATGAAGGAAGGCTTCGTGGTAACTGGCAAGCCCCATCTTTAGAGAACAACGACAGACGCCTACCAGTCGTCGTTATGGATCCAGATCTGTAATGAAACCTCTCTCATAATTTGAATGCTTACTTTGATAAGGTCAGTTTAGAGACAAGACCAAAAGTCACATCTTCGATATCGTTCCAACGTACGACACAGACATGTGAAGATACCGCATGGGAGGCACAGTTGTAATCATCATTAGTACTTCCAACGTAAAAATCATTCACCCGCGTTAATGTTAAAATTCATAAAGATAAATCAGGGCGTTCAATATTTCAGTGAAAAGGCAAACGCATATTTGTTCGTGGATTCAGCCTGTTCCCATCCGAATCCCAACCAAAACCTCAACTTTCATAAACAAACGTGTGACGGGAATCAAAGCAGACTTCCACCATTTTAATTTTATATTCCTCGAGAGTCACAGGACTTGTGCTCGTCAATGACAATCGGCAAGGTTGGTCATAGCATTAAAAAAGTCCTTCTTATAGTTATAGTAGTAGTTAGGCGCTCTTGGAGACTTAATGAAATTTAAGGAAGCATCCTCGACGTGCTTAGTGGCTTTAGATCAGGTATGTCGTCATGCATACGAGGATATCTGACCTTTGGCCTAGGGAGATCCTGATCCGTGTTCATTATAAAAATCAAGTTCAGCGACATGCACTATATGATTGATTGGCTATTCGATATTTGCTTGAATCAGCCTATACTCAGTAAATCTCCATTTCAAAATGAAACGTGTATTAAATTTGATAATATGAAGATGAGAAAACGACTCTGTAATAGTGATGATGCTATGTTGAATCCAACTAACATTGTATAGCATCAGAAGAGTATTTAATAACCTGAAATGAATCTTCCTCCCAGCGTTTATTAGAGTTAAGTTCAGGTTCTCTTAATTTGGCGTATTTAATGCGGCGTGATCGTCTTTCTTATTTATGAAGGGAACTACAATAATATCTATTTAACGCAGTTATTAATGCTACGATACCTAAGAGATTATCACATATCCACCCCTTCAACAACAGAGTCCATTAGCTGACCAGTCGACCCAAATGAATAAACTAACATGTCTAAGAAGTCTTGTCTAGTTTCGTAGAAAAAGCTTTTCAGATTTTTAAAATCAGCTTACGTTAACATATAATGTATATATTAAATCAGTTGGAAATATGTATCTAAAAAAAATGGCTTCGAATGCTCCAAGATAAGTAAGCATAAATATTATGATGTAATGGCAGATATAAGCTGCGAACGTTCGTGGGGTATCTCTGGTCAAGGTTTTCGAACGTGTTAGCAGATAGCAAAAAATTCGGAGAGAATCTCCAAGAAAATAAGGACATTTCGATCAATTTAATTGGCTTTGCGCCACATAATAATGTATATATATATCGTCAGCAGTATACTTCAATCACGTTAGCAGAAGCGGAGACAATTTAAACTGATGAATTTTTTAGGCTTCACGTTGGGCCTATTCATGATGCCTCATCTTTAGAAACGTGAAATATAGCTTATGTTAAGCAATAAGAGCCTCAGTTTCGCAACTAGTAATGCTATTAGATAAGCTCAGCTTAAGCAATCGTGGGTCAGCCGATAGATCGATTTGAATCGGATTTCGCCAGCTTAACACATAAATGGTCGTTTCTACTTTCATGTTTTGATCGTTATAACCGTTATGATTATATTTAATTAGACACGCCAAATAGTTAGTCAGGCAGCTTGGACCATCTATAGAAACTCATCGCAAAGAGCATTCTGGGTAACATTATTGGATTGTATGATTGAAGGTAGCATGCAGAGAAAAAATCGGCAAGATGTCGTATAGGCGCTCGGAAAGTGTTTTATCTCGAAATCAGTTTCGTCACTCGAATATAACAGATATGTGTCCAGTTTTTAGTAGAAATAGGTGCTTTCAAAGGTTAGACATCTACATGATAAAACGTTCATCCAGACATGGTTCGAGCCAGAAGAAGAGGTGCTAAGGAACATCAGCTTACGTAGAGATAGAAAAATCTAAACGAGTTCTGCCACGCGAAAGAATAAATTTTATTTACGTAACTGTCATTCGTTTTCATCATCTCATTGAGTTCTTGCTCACCGTAAACAAATTGAGATCGCCTATATCCGTTGCGTACCTCAGCTAAGTGGCAAATACGTATGTTTTTTCAGAGCTAAAGCGGAGGCAAGCCGCGTGAGGCTGAGGGTTCAGTCGGCTGCCAGTAAATCCAATTCGGACGAGTCAAAAGAAAGACCTATCTCATTTTGCTCTGCCATTCTGAGTCACGTGATTTATAAAACCGGCCAAGGCATAGAGCATCGGTTGGATGGTGTATGCGGCATTGAAAATCAGCCTTCCCAGCGTTATCGTATTATACTTCTGAGAATTGTTGCTAGATTTCATAGTATTTATTACGGGAAGTCTACAGGTGGCCAATGCTAAGGTCAAAAACTTCTTTTCACTCATGTATTCTATTCGATTCCCTCGGCTCTCACCATGTTTCCGATTCAAGAGCGCTCATAGGCGGGCTTTTCAAAGGCAGTAGTGGCGTTTCGCCCCCAACCGATTGCATACAAAAGCGCAAGGAGTAAATATATTACAACCTGAAGACTGTTTAAACTAGAATTATTCTTCCCCTTCAGATTGTAATCATAAAAGAATGCTTTTATTTAGGTAATAGTAACGTAAAAGGTACAAAAAGAAACAGTGGCTTAGGTGTTATCAAAACGTTCTGCACTTGTTTAACTATTACTCCTCTGGATTTATTGTTTCGACAGTGAAACATTCATAGGGTCTACCGCATCTACAGGAATAGGTGCAAACTATTCTTTTGCAGAGTCCATTTTAGAACAGATCATACATTAGGTTTGAAACTGAGACTTCAAGGGGTAAGATACTCAAGCAGATACGTTGATAATTAGGTGCAAAGACGTTAAGTCAGGAGCCCACTTGGGTTAATTTATGTATCCTTCATTCATTCGTCTATCATCAATTCTAATGATCTTCCGCTAGTTCGTCGTCTGTAGCCAATGGGGCTGTGAATTCGAAGTTGAGGACGTCAATTAAACTAGGTAATGTTATATTTGATGCCTGATTTCCTTCTGACAGCAGCTTACGCACAATGTATTTTCAGCTGCTCCGACCAGACTGGTGGTCACAACCTGATTTAATCTAGTTAGTATATGTTCTTGAAATGATGACTTATCATGCTTGGTAACGCTCGGTAATCCTATTTAGCTATGCTCCACACATGCACATAACTTCTAACTTCGATTTTGTACATGTCAAACTATAATATTGATTTAATATAACACATTCATATATATATATATATATATATAGGAAGGAATGTTATGCGAACTACCGCATCGCACGTTGCAAGGATCTCTTCACACCTTTTTCCCTTTTCGATTATACAATCGGCCCTATCTATTTAGCTCTGTCTATAAAAACCTGTTACTATTACGACTGTTTGTATACGCACGTACGAGTGAGCGATCGAGTGATCAAGTAAGCAATACCTTGCGGATCTGAGGACTCTTTGATTTTCTGTCTGGCCGTTTATCTTCCTTGGCGTCTATATGTATTTATACAAAAGCGTATAGTTTTGTCCTTGTGTGCAGGTTTCAATCATATAGGGGCATAGCTGGATGCGTCGCACTGATATTCCAGTTCTGCATTGCGGTTGCAATCAACCGATGTTGTTAACGGCGATAATTTTCCTACTATATTCAGCTAATAGTAGAAGCACGAACGAGCACCAGCAATAACAGCTGCTGGCACCATCATGATTTCTATATGCAACTGCTTATTCCTCACTTTGGCCATCTTAGAAACCACGACCGGAACGGACGACGATCGACGGCCTGTTTTTCAACCAACGCCTGGACGACTAATCGTAAGCCAATGAATGCCAGCAACATTTCAAAATCTCGCCGGTTCAAGCAGCGATCACAATGATGATTATATTTATGATGGTAAAGATCGTGGTGGTAGCGCTCGTGGCGATGTCTCAGTCGTTTGCTAGCGAAGCGCCGGTGGTAGGATCCGACGCAGCGGTAGACGCGCGCATCCTCCGCCCGTCCGCCTGCTTTCTCACCCGGCCATTTACAGCCACTGTGTGCGAGACAGTATCGAAAGACGTCGACGGGGACGACTACGAATGATGTTAGTTCCTAACAACAATGTTAGCGGTCATAATTATAGTAGCAGTAGTAGTAGTAGCAACTCGTTGCTTTGATACCGTCCGTCAATTGCGTGTTGGGGACAGTGGCGTTGATGTGCCAACCAGCGCCACTTCGACAACAACACCGTAACACAACAAGCTTGACCCTAACCAAAAGTCATCGCTGCTGCTATAGCCATCGTTACCGAAGCAGCTACAATTGCCACTGACGAAGCTGATTCATTGCTATCTTTGCCGCTACCGCCGGCGGTTCAAGTATCCCCTCAATGACGACCTCCGTGTTGTCTCAGTGTTGGCCAGCCGATATTGTCGCTTTAGATGTATCAATTGTGTTATCCTTATGAATATTATTATTACTATTGCGATTATCCGTAGCGCATATACGGATAGGCAAGTCGAATTTTAAGCTGCTCTTCTACGACAGCCATAGAAACAACTGCTATCACTGCCGATACGAAGATTTTTACCCCCAAAACAACACTACGGGAACACGACTTTGTCGGCTTTGCGACGCCAAACGCTTCGATACGATTCAACTATGGCGTACAACAGTTTGCATGTACGTCGAATGCTGTTAATATAGTACCGACGAAGTACCACGTGGACAGTGGCTCGACAATAACCATTTCAACAGTGGCTTGACTTAAAACGAAGACCCGTAACAGCTTCCTAGAAGAAGAAACGTGTGGGTTGAGACGATCCTGTCTGACCGGGCAAATCTGGGCAAAACAGTGATATAACAACGAACAGACGAATAAACATGGACGGTAAACTTTCCAGCTGTGCTCTACAGCGGATATGACTACTAGTCATTAAAGACAGGGACATTACTCGACCGCGGTTGAGGATGAACACACAAAACGTATCGATCAGACTGCTAAACTAGATCAGTACTGGCTACGATTAGGTCCAATCGAAGACTGCTCGGAAGAAGGAAGCCAATAAACAGAAATATGGGTTTTGTCATTGGACACACCACTCAGCATGTTAAGCACGGGTTGAGCGGACGTAAACGTACAGGTCAGAGTGACCCTGCACTTGGGATTTTGCTTTTAATAACTAGTTATATCGATTCAAATTGTTTTTTAAAACACTTTACTGTAAGTTTGAGATATTTGAAATAGTGATCAGCAACTTTTACCTAGAAATTGTTGATTATCTACCAATACGCAGAAAATTCAAGTTCCAGCGGTTTATGCCGGTCCATGAAATTATTAAGACAACGGCGACCGTGATACAAATGATCTAGCATATATATATATATATATCCAATAGGAACTACTAGAATTCAGTTATGCTGTCAGTGAACATCCACCATTACTCTAAAACGACTTAGTTTCAATTATTGCCACGAGTATATTTCTCGGTTGTTTATCTTTATCTACTTTTATATATTTATCTATTTTATATCTAACTTGAAGTTAAGTCATCATTAAATGAAGTATTACTATACGGCTGCTAGGTGCTATATGGTGAAGAAGATAGTATTATCCTCAAATATGTTGTCTTCAACAGTAATACTAATAGTCACGGAATATGATATCAAGTGCCTTTAATGTTTCTGCACTGGACAATCAATGTTGTTAGCTATATGGTAGGATTTGCCTATCGACAGTAACGTTATGCAGTATATAGGAACAAAAACTTTCAAGTTGTAACACAGTTGGATTAAGGGTACTAGCTTAACACAAAAGCCGCTAACAGGAACTATTTCTGCCGCCACAGTAGAAAATTCAGTCATTCTATTTGTTACCGTGAGTCAAGGACATATTGCGTTACGCAACACTGTATGGTAACAATAATAATAAGCATTTACTAAGATTATTTTTGTTAATACATTTTAGGTGGAAGCGGCGTTGTTTCGTGTTGCAAATGTTTCCCATTTACGAACGGAAAGGTCTCTACAAAGAGTAGTCTTTGTTGAGGTTACAGAGCGTCGAGTTTACGTACCTTGATAACAATTTGCCCCCTCCCCCCTCCCGAGGATCGACATCCTTGGGCAATAAGCCGACTGACCTTGTGGCCACCGGATAGAGCCAAGTACAAAGCATACCTTCGGTAATCATCAGCGTTGTCACTGTCATTAAAATTAACGCATATCTTGATGGCCTTCCTGGAAATGGGAACATTGCATGGTCGTTATGGAAATCTGTGTAGCAATTAAATTACAAGTCCCAATTTGTTTATCTGAAGTATTATCGTTACTTTTATTTATATTTGTTAGACGCTCAATATACGCATTTTTACATAAAATTCCGGTTTGAACAAGGAATTGCCCAACGTTGTCGCAAACGCGAGCGTTTCACAATACCAGACGGTGTATTTACGCGGTGATTATTGTTCTTATCTCTGCAGGCATTTATAAGTCGCCGGAGAAAGCATAATACCATTCGCTATCTGCGAAAAAAACGTCTGAAGACACTGACAGATCGATTCAGACCATGCACACTGGGTAACCAAGCAGGCTTGCCTCAGCCATGGCGCGCTGAACAAACCACCTGTTCATACGGAAAGTATAAACAAGCAATAAGTTTGGGTTATTATTTCCCACAGGTATGCGTATAGGATATTATATAAAAAATGGCAAGTATTGACGTAAACGATTAAAACGTCTAACAATGCACACCGTTTTCTGGCTAGCGAGCTTGTTAAATCTAACTTCAAAATACCCTACCTGTTAGACCATCTGATTATTATTAGAAAATTGGATGGACGTCTGTCTGCGGTGCAATTCTTTTAGATATCCTACTATTCACCTCAGTAGGATTTTATCTGTATCGGCTTTTTCACAGCCTGCCATTTCGTGGACCTATTCTATTTACAGCATGGCAGGCCAATGTAATTAGAGAGGCTTCGTAAGGAAGGCTTTCGGAATGAGATAATGAAAAATTGAATATATAAATATTTCAAATCGATGAAGCTTTAGTATGACTTGTGCTAATACTACGTCAACGATCTTCTCGAAGAGTTGTACCATGTTTCGATAGGAAGATGACGGTTCCAGCAAGTAAAAAAATGTTTATATTTTTTAAAGTATCGTTGGCTGGGTCTTTGATTCTAAAGCTAGTTTATGTGTGCCCTTTCACTGCTGTGAACTACTTAATTTCATGTAATGTTAAAAAGATACTTTCTTTTCGATTTTGCCGAATCGGTGTAGCAAGTAGATCCATGAGCAACTAATCCACACGAAGAACTTTATTCTATGATGACTTACTAACCGTTGAAAGGCAGTTGTTGGTTTAACTCTATAGGTTAACGTTCACTAGCAGTCTTAGATATACGCCTTGCTCCTTTATAATAAATAAGTTCTCTATTTGGAACAGAGCTAACTTGAGACCGTCCAAATAGCTATACAACTATGCGTATCACTTAATTACTTTTCACTTTATGTATCGTTACTATTTTCGTCGCTAAAGGCGATCAATATTTTTGTTACTTACTCTTATTGTTATTCTTGAAATGCTACTTTAGCTAAAGGAGCCTATCTCCTCTCAAAATCATAGTTCCGATTTTACTGTTTTTCTGTATTCGCCCTGTGCCCCCGGTGGGCGTGTGCGTTTTTTGACCGTACTAGATCCAGAAATCTGGCTCCTAGGCATTAACAACACACGCCGATTAACGCTTTCAGAAACTCTTTTGGGAGGCGTTAAGTAAAGTCCGTACGTAGTCCATTTATCCGGTATTCTTATTTTGTTTTGGATAAGATGTCGAATACCTTACAGGCCCGAACTAAAACGCTATAATATAGTAATGTGATATTTGAACTTCCCCTCCATGAATCAAGTACTGAAAGGCCATGCCAACCTAATACACTATGAAAGCGTCTCGAAAAGAGGTCGTTATTGCCAAAAATATGTGCACGATTTCGCATTATATTCTGAATTCTATAGCCTTGCAAGGGCAAATCTGAAAGCCTATTTTGCTATTTCGAATAAAAGGCGTTCAGGTAATGACAGGCTCTTTTTAACTCTACTGAGACTACTCTGCTAGTATTTCTAAACTCTGCTGCGTGTGTCTTCTAGAAGCCTGAATCACAAGATCTGTTCGATTCAATTTATTACGGTAACCCACTGGAATGAATATGGGACGCATTGGATGCGACTTGGCTGAAGGTATATTCCTTACGTTCCGCCCATTGACGTGCATCGGCGTGTGGGGCGAAAAGCTACGAGGAAGCTAGTTGATCGGCCTTCAGAATGGCCCTCATGGCCGCGCGTCACACTACAGTAAATACATTACATTCGATGCAGTCGTTCCATTTCAACGCATTCTACTTAAGCCGCTTTTAGTTAACGCACTACCTTTATTTACACAATTTCACTCACCGATATTTATTCGAAACATAGAATATACTGTGCATGACTAAGAAATTCTGACTATCCAACTCTCTACTGGCAGATTTCACTACCGTTAACGGTGGTACACGATTTGATAACGCGGACTGAACGTTGCCGCCCCGTAGGGCAATCATGGATGCCGTTTTGTATGCTGCCAATGCGGGAATTGTCCTAGAGTCATTGACATCGGGCGTAAGAGCGCCTTGTTTCGGCAGCTGGCAGCAAATAGGTTGTGTAATGCCTGAACTTCCACGTACATCGAAGGATGTAAAAATTTGCGATACTTTAACGAATAGCTGTTTTGTACCATGAAGCTGTCCGAGGTGCGCTGAGCTACCCGAAGGGCATTGGAATAAAAGATAGAGTCGAATAGAGTCGTAAGCTATGATTTCAATTGAGTCGGTGTATATATATCTATTCAGGTACTTCAAGAGACATACAGGACTGCCTGCTTAACTAATACGTGGACCTGTAGTGTAACCAAAGAGCCCAAAGGACGACCATTTTTGTTGATATTCACAGCGGGATGTTTTGATAGAGCGAATAGTTCCAATGATATTGACCGTGTATATATATAGGGCTTGAACTTCGGCGTTTAATAAGTCGAAGCAACTTTTGCTTCGATTCAACACTTTTTGATCTTACCTACTAAGTAATCTTCAAAATCAATGGGTTCACTTATCGAGTAAGCGGTATTGCTTGCGTGATCAGTAGGCGCTGAACGGCAGCTTCCGCAAATAGGTTAACTCTCTAGTTTCATTTGAATTATTCATTTGGTCATCGAAACATCTAGTTAGCCTTCGGAACCAGCTCTTTTTATGACACATTGTTCGACTTTCGAGTACGATACATTCACATTGTACCCATTTATCAAGGCGGTTCGAAATTGTCCCGCTGTTCAATCATACAGCGTATATAATAAGGTACGTGAATTTAACAATTTAAAATAGTACGCGAAACGAAAACAATGATATAAATATGAATCCATATATGTTTGTTACAGTAACTAGTCGTGTGGATACGATCCGGTGCGAACGTTAGGTCCGTTGTCAGCTTACTACCCGTGACTCCACCCATTTTTGCTGGCAGCGTCGTTTGCTATTGATCGTAAGTAACAATTATTTGAATGAGACCATCGGGTAAAAGGGTCTACCAAAAGAGCGTGCTCACATATCTCATAAGTATGGAAAAAAAATGCTTTCCGTATGATAACAACGTGTAATCGTCATTGGAAAATCGGCGTGCACTTCTCTGGTGTTCCCGAAAGACACCTATGTATAGTACTTTATACGTATGCTGTTTGTTCAGGAAATCAGAGCCTAAACTCAGGTATGGTTGAATTGACTCTGACAAGACATTGACGAACGCTAGGATTTCGTTAGCAGGCGCCAGTCACTTTGTGCATCTTGCTTCAAAGGCCAGCCCATGTCTCTACACATCTGTATAAGATTGCAACGGAAATTTTGATTATCCTGTGAATTAGATTACGTTACAAGTTAAATTATCAACGTACCCTTATAATAACGATTTGTCATCTCTATTTTCTCTTCCTCAACTGTTTTAGAAGGCAGTAATAGCGTGCTTTAGACGATCATTTTGTGAGTTAGCCAGCGCTTTCCGGGACGTAGGAGTTTGCTTTGTTTCTTCCGGATGCCCTTGAGAATGTTGAGAAAAATGAAGGTCAGAAACATCTGCTCAGTTTTCGCGCATTCATAGGTACCGATGATGATGATGATTATTATTGTCGTTTCTATCTGTGTCTGATTCACTTGACCGTTCGAGCTTTTCGTTTTACAACTAGGATCAGTCCAGCAAACCAGTGTCAGTTCGAGCGCTTGCGTACAAACCGAGCAGCCAGTCGCTATGTATCGGTAAAAACCGTCGAGACGTTTGCGACGCGCTACAGTATGTTTTCCTCTTTTGCGGTACGATCCGTTCGCACCGCTAAACGAATTCGGACGAGGAACACATTCTGTACTGCGACAGCTGCCACTCGGCATCTTACGTTACTATATATATTTTGCGATATAGTCTAAATATTAGATTCGAGCATCTTGTTCAAATGAGAAGTTAATTAAAGTTGAATTGTGCTTGACCAATCCAAGTAACATCGTTTTAAACAAGCTATAATGCAGGCGTGTCCTTGCACATGTAGATTTACACGTCTCCGATTTTTTTGTGATAATCTAAGGGTGATTCGCCACCTTGACTTATATGCGTACTACACTATTTGCAGACTTAACGCAGTAACAGGTCTGATTCGCAAAAAAACAGTTTGTCTTCTACAAAAAACCTACTGCAAGGGTTCTTCGTTTAACTAAAAAATCAGTTCCTAGCCATGTTTATGTTTCGACGCGCGTATTGATCGCCACCAATTAAGTCAGAAGGCTTAATGGGTGGTATCAGCTTCTTCAGTCTAGCATGGATATAGCAGGATTTAGATTAGATAGAATGATCGCTGGCTTGCTTGTTCGTTCTCCCCATTGGGAGAAAATTCAAGTTCTATGAATGTTATATCCTTTGAAAGAGACATCGTAGAAAGACGTATCTATCAACGAAGTAGTTTATTTGGCTGGTTTGTGTGGCTGTAAACTGGAGATAGCTACTTAATTTAATCGTCAACTCTGCATGCACCTTACGCGCTCGTTCCTACGGTGCTACTAAGGTTAGGCTTAACTACCTGGCTGTGAATTCTAAAACAAAAATTTGCGGCTATACGCATTAGATTACAATATAT